GAAAGAACTGTTAGTTGATGAGACAAAATGGAGCTGGTATGTTTCTTATAACAAAAGGACAGTCTGTAAATATTGTGGCCAATCAGGTAATTATTGAAAACCCCTTCCACATTCAAGAAAAAATTGAACATACTTTGTTTAAACGTGCGATTACAAAGCGAAGAGGAGGACCAACATTACATTCAGCCAATCTGTGACGCTAGGTTCGTGAATCAAACTAAGAAACCGCTGGAGGGAGGTAATTTATCCTTCAAAAAGTCGATATGGCAAAGATGGAAAGTGGCGCTTTTGTTAATTTGTCAGTTTGTGTCAATTTGTCAAAAGTGTAATTTTCATCCCTTTCCAAAAGCTTTCCCCACAATGTGAATGCGGTTTAGCGCATCTAAGGAATGTTTCTACTAAAACCATACCTTGTTTAGCTGACCAGGGTTTGTGTTGGCAAAGGTTTCCCTCCTCAATGTACAATCCTGCCAATGCTATCAAGTCCTCTCTTGTCTCTGTTTTACCTTCTATTAGCACCTGTTTATTGTATCAGACAATAGCAAAAAAGGAAGAAAAATATATAACAAAAAAAACTCATATTTATGGTCGATCGCTGTAACTCGTCAACCTCGAAAAACTAAAAAAAGTGGACATGGAAATGGAGAAAATTGCATAAACAAAGAACTTTACGCCACGCTACGGAATTGTTTTTCGAGGAGAACTATCGATCTGTTGGAAAGCTTTATTCGAAGTAAAATACAATGGAAAGCTGCGGGTAATGGGCAACTGGTTAAGTTTTTCTAATATTTTTCTATGCTTAAAACCTGGAAACCATTTTTTTTTTTATACCGTCAGCACAAACATTTATCCCTTCCGAGCAGAATATGCTCCTGACATAATATCCCGAGACACATACCTGAAACTCAGAAAGACAATTCAAAGGAACTTGTCCGTAGAGCCAGTTCTTGCCAGTGTTGCTTCCTGAAATCCAGATTGGAATTTTACGGTAGGTTTTTGTCTTCTGGTAAATTGTAAGTGTCTTCTTCCCAGGTCCCCGGAACATGTAACGAAACTTTAGGCACTCA